TTTTTTTGGGAAATTTTCCGGAAATTGATTCCAGCGTGTGCATTAGGAAATTTTTCTTTGTGCAATTAAACAGCACTCGTGATTGAAACTTATGCGAGGGTTTCTCTCTCGTGAGAAACGATCCAGAGATGCCACCAACGTTCCAGCTTTTGTTTTGGAGGCACCTGGAATTTGTCCAGGATGCCAAATCCAATCAATCTATTATCGTTAGTTAAGTGTCCAGTCTGTTTCATAGTTTCTTCGGTACTCCGAATGAACTCTTTCTCCAGCGATGTAAAAAGACTAACGAGTACTTTCCTCCTCCATAAAAATCTATTTTTACTCTATGCCTCCATTTTATCAGTTTCGTTTGTTCGAGAATTTTTCTTTCGATTCTTTTTAGAAAAACAAAAAACAAACCGATGTCGTAAAGATCCCCCGCCCCCCGTTAAAATTAAATGAAAAGAAAAGTAATAAAAAATAATAATAATAATAATTTATCATTATCATTATTATCATTATCATCATTGCAATTGTTAAAGTTAAATATAAATTTTAAAATTATATTCAAAGTTTCTTTTATATATATATATATAATCTTTTTAAAGTGGATTTAATTAAACTAAAAAGATTAAAGTCAAAATCCAACAATCAAATTTGAATCTCTCTTTTTCCTAACTAAATCCATCCATCCTCATACAATAAATTTGCGCTCTTTAAACGATTGTTCCATAGTTCGTTTGACTTGTCCCGCGTCCTTCTATTTCTCACCTTCCCCCCCCTTCACACGCTAACGCCGCCGCTCATTCTCCTTTCCCCCCCCCGCATCCGGGGTTAAACTAAAAATGGAGTTTTTGGTAAATGGACAAAGTTAAAAATAATGATGATGGCGATAATAAAATAACGATAAGAAAATAATAATTTTTTTTTTTTTTGTTCGGATCCCTAATATCTTCATCACCATCACCATCATCACCATCGTCGTCGCAACATGGATGAGATATAGGGAGGCTGTGGCGGATGTGAGGGAGCAAAAAAGATTGAAAAAGAAAAAATAATCTCAGGGTGGATGAAATTATAGAGGGATGGAAGAGAGAAAAAAAAAAGGTAAAAACCGAGAAAGGAAATTTAATATATATATATATAGGGGGGGAGGGGGAGGGTAGGGTAGTTTATATTTTTCGAATGAAATCACAATTTATATATAAATATAAATAATTTTTTTTTCTTTTTTTTTTTGTTAACGGCCGTTCGGCCATCCGTTCCGTCGGACACACACACGCACACATCCCGCCCGCTCCTTCCCTCTTTCCTTTTCTCCCCTCTTCCTCCTTTTTACTCACCCACGTTTTCCCGGTCGCAAAGAATTCGTGATGAAAATATTTTTCTTATTTCGACTTTTCGCCCAAAAAAAAAAAAAAAAAAAAGATATAACTATAATTAAAAGAACGTGAACGTGTATCCAATAATAGGTTTTTTTTTTTTTTTTTTTTTTTTTCGTCGACGTTGATGACAGTTTGAGTTGGAAATTTTTACACGACGGCACGTAACGGCACGAATAAATAAACGAAATATAAATGCGCCGTTTCCTTTTTTCCTTCCCTTCTCCCTCCCCTTCTTCTTCTTCTTCGTCTTCCTCCTTTTTTTTTTTTAATATAAATTTAATTAAATTGAAATACGTGACGTTACGTGACGTGACGTAATGCGCGGGCGCGCGAGAGAGCGACCGAATGTCCGTCATATTTACAGTCGCAATAAAAAAAAAAAAAATTCGGCGGTTAAAATACACGCAAAAAAAAAAAAAATAATAATAATAATTTTTCCTTTTTTTTTTCTCTCTCTCTCTCTCTTTCTCAGCCCTAATGAATTACCTGAGAAAACTATTAATATTTATTAAGAAGCTAGCAAGCGTCACATTATTTTATTATTATTAATATTTATTAAACGTTTTAATTCTTTTTTTTTTACACCAGGTGCGAAACAATTATTATTATTATTATTATTATTATTATTATTATTATTATTATTATTATTATTATTATTATTATTATTATTATTATTATTATTATTATTATTATTTTTCCATAATTTTCGTTTATTAATGTAAAAGCGTTCGTCGAACGATGGCTCGGGTAAACGAACAGGGAGGATTAAAATCAAAAATCGGCCATGTTAGAAAAAAATTTTTTTTTTCCCCCTTTTTTTCCGAAATAATGATAATGATAATGATAATGATGATGATGATGATGATGATAATGATAATAATGATGATGATGATGATATGTATAATTCTGCAAGCCAATCAATCAATCACATTTTTATGTGAAATTCTCATTTGATTTTACGAAAGTTTTCGAATTTCGCGCCTTTTTAATATTACATAATGATGATAATAATAATAAAATTTTGCGTTTTCTTATTGTTTTACGTCCGAGTGTAAAAACGTTGCAAACGAATGGATTTTTCTATTTTTTTTTATTTTTTTTTTAAGGAATCTTTCTTGACGTCACTATTCACACGTCGTATTTTTATTTTTATTTTTTTTCTAAAATAATTTTTTACAGGTGTAAATGACAGTAAATTATTATTATTATTATTATTATCATCATCATCATCATCGTCTTATTTATTTATTTATTTCTCATGTGTCAGAGAGTTTTGAAATTGTGAGTGACTGACAAGTTGAAGTAAAAGAGAAAACAAAAATGATATCACACACGAGCTTAAACGCATTTTTTTTTTCTTGTTGTTTCAAACAAGCAAACAAAAAATTTTTTTTTCCCTTTTTTCCTTTTTCTTCAAAAGCCTTTAACTAAAATACGTACGGTACGTATAATTTTTTTCTTTGCATATCGGTCGATATAAATGTCAATCCCGTATTTGCAACAATAACAAATAAAAAAAAAAAAAAATTGTACAAACGTATTTCGAACGCAGTTACGACAGCGGGTTTATGAACAGGTTCATAACAAACAATCTACACTGACCGAATTGTGCTAGCCAGCCAACTAATTAGATACCATTCAAAGGAATAATACTGGAAAATGGTGACAATTAATTAAAGCCTCCGAACAGGCGGAGAAAAACAACAGACAGACGAAGAAGCAGACAAAAAACTGAAATAGCCAGGATGTGGGGAAAGCAAAGGCAGAAACTATTCATCGGCCATCGTGGAAGCATCATTGGGAGCCATGCCACATTCAATAAAAGGAAATTCGAAGAAGATTCAGGAAAGCCTCGTAACACCACCACATCGACACTACAACCGCCGAAAGAATCAGGTAGAAACCTGAAACGAACCACGATAAACCCCGACGAGCACACGAAATATTATGCGCGTTCAAAAATGAAAATAATAATAATAATAATAATAATAAAGATGAAAATAACAATATAAATACCATTTTTTTTAAAATCGAAATAATAATAATAATAATAATAATAAAGATGAAATTAATTATTTTTAATTACTTAAAGAAAAATTTAATACGCGAGATGAAAACTTATAATAATAATAATAATAATAATAATTATCATTATTATTATTATTATTATTATTAAAATAAATTAAAAATACGTAAAAACAAAATTATAAATTTAAATTGTATTTTAATAATAATAATAATAATAATAATAATAATAATAAGGAAATTTAAATGTTTTTAAAAAATTTTCGATGGCGAATCGGTTAAACGGTGGCGTGATGGCGGAAGTTGATCACGTGAATAAAATTTTTTCAATCAATCATTATTGTTTAAAACGAAGAAGGTTCTTTAAAAAAAAAATACTCGTGGAGGGAGGGGGTGTAAAATCAATAGATACCCTTAAAATTAAAAGGACGATTTCCGTTTGTAATAAAAATTTCACCCCCCAAAATCCGGTTAAATTTTTATCCGAAGAAAAAAATTTAAAAAAAAAAAAATTTCGCATTTTTTTTTTGACGTTCTTTCCCCTCTTCTCTCTTTCTCTCTCTCTCACCTCCTCCCGAAAAAAAAGGTAAAACAAAGAAAAAATTTATAATTTACCTCAATGGAAATCCAATAATAATCCAATAATAATAATAATAATAATAATAATAATAGTAATAATAATAATAATAATAATAATAATAATAATAATAATAATAATAATAATAATAATAATAATAATAATAATAATAATAATAATAATAATAATAATAAATGAGCCGAACTAAATTTTTCACATATAAGTACAATAAAAAGTAATTTTACCTGTTTTTGGCCGTTATTTTAAAAAAATTTTCCAAACGAATTTTAAAAATGAATGACGCCATTTGTTATAATTCGATTTAAAATACGTTAAACACTTTAAATTCGCGACCCGAAACTGCAAATCACGCGTACGTCACGGTTGCATCACATCACAACACTAAAACTAAAATGAAACCTACGAAATAATGAATTGATATACGTACAAACCTAAAAAAAAAACGGACCAATCACAAATCAAAGATTTAAACGATTGGAAATGAATTTGTTCATTTGAAAAAAAAAACCTCGCATCAAATTGGTTTTTCATGGGCGAAACAATCTTTTTAAAATTAATATTTTTAATACATACCTGTAAAAACTTGTTTTAATTTTTGGCCGGATGTGAATATTGTCGAATTCTCGCCAGTAAACGTCTCTGCGATAAAGATGCGTATACGGTGATGAACGCGCGTGTTGGTACGCGCCGCGCGTAGTTCCAGGCATCGTTTATATATTTAACGTTTCAAAAAAAAAAAAAACAAAAATTGTACGCGTTTTCATTTACGAAGATGATTATATTTAATACGGAAAGCATATTTGTGCGTGTGTGCGTAAATGAATTTATCATGGAGTAAATAAACATGTGTTTGCGTGTGCGTGCGTGTGGAATAATTTATACAGGAAACTGTTGTGTTCAGGTAAGTAAAAAACGTCATGTGAAATTTATCAGAGGAAGGGAAGTAGTGATTCTCCTTTCCGGAAGACCGGGGTTATGTTTTACCTAACCCCTCCTCCCCTGCTCCCCCCTTATTATTTCGTGGCTCCTTTTCTTTTTTTCCTGTATTTTTTTTCGTAGTGTTTTCCTTTCTTCGATTTCTTTTTATTAAAAAAAGGTGTCGGTTCCTCGTTGTAACTGTTTATCTCTCTCGATCTGGGGACCGAACTGCTTTTGCTACAATCGTCCAAAAGTTCGTTGTCCTCGTAATTTTTTTTCCATTTTTCCCTTCGACTGTTTTTCATTTCTTGTATGTATTTCCAAAAATTTTGCAAAGAAGATATTTTCCTCTTGATTTTATCGTCTATTTTATCGTCTATTTTATCATCTATTTTATCGTCGGCGGCCGTTTTTTTTGACGCGGATTTGTTTCTCAGAGGTTCGCATTGTTTTTTCCATATTTTTTCCAATTTTGAAAATTGCACTGAACACGTCGACGTCGACGTATGTGTTTGCGATGTCGACGTCGCAAGAGATTCCGTCTCTTCTAATTTTTTATCTTTATTCATTATCAGATTGGTTTCGCACGTGCAATAGTGGCACGTCGTGGTACCATCAGGACATTTACCCTCACTTTCTTTCGTTTCTTTTTTTTTATCCAAGACTCCTTCGGATTCGTCTGCCGTTGTCGATTCGATTTTCTTTTTTTTGATTTTTCCACTTTCCAAATACCCCAATCTTTCTTCGATTTCTTCCCATTTGTCATCGCAAAAGCAAGCTTTGTTTTTAACGGTAGTTTTTTTTTTTTCTTTTTTTTTTTCAGTTTTTTTTTCAACTTTTTTTTCTTTTTTTTTTTCAGTTTTTTTTTCAATTTTTTTTTCGTTTTTTTTTTCGCAATCTTTTCCTTTGGAACCTTTGCACACTGTCAAATACCTTAATTCGTCCAATTTACGAAGGAATGGCATTTTCGGCGCATGATATTTTTCTTTTTTACTTCCGCTGCAATTTCTTATGTAAGACGCTAGGGGTGACGGCATGTCTGCTTCGTCTTTTGTTTTAAGGAAGCATTCCAATTTTTCGCAATAGCAACTCTTTTTAGATTTTGTATTATCATGTGATTGCTTTTCGCAAGTTTTCCATTTCTTTCTGCAAGGATATTCTTCTCCTTCTTCGTGGACATTCGAATCACTGATTCGTTTCTCTTCTTTTTCTTCAATTTTCTGTTCTACATGTTCTTCCTCTACATTCTCCTGTTCTTCTTGTTCTTCTTCGCTAACCATTTTTTCTTCGACCACTTCTTCGATAATGTACCTAGTATGAACGTTCCCGCAAATTTCACAGACGCATTTAACTTTTTTCTTCTTTGTCCCTTTTTTACTTTTTTTTTCTTTGTCTTTTTTGTCTTTGACTTTTTTGTCTTTGTCTTTTTTGTCTTTGACTTTTTTGTCTTTGTCCTTTTTGTCTTTGACTTTTTTTTCTTTGACTTTTTTTTCTTTAACTTTTTTTTCTTTTACCTTTTTAGCATTCGCTTTTTCTTTCTTTTTCTTTTCTTTTTTTTCCTTATCATTTTTCTTATGTTTCTTTTTATCACTTTCCTCGTGCTCTTCCTCGACTTGTTCTTCGGTGTAATAAATTTGCGAGGTTTTATATGGGAAAATGAATTCCTGGTCGGGTCTCACTTTACGGCTTATGTATCCGTTGTAAGATTTTATTTTTTTTTGACTTTCCGTTTCCGACGATTCGGAACTTTCGTTACCTAACGAATCATCAGATTTTGGTTTCATACTTAGAGGAACCTGCAGTTGAGTGTAAACTTTGTAACAATTACACCCGACTGGATAACTCGATTTACGAGGGGAGCAAGGTGACTGAGCATAATTTTTTTTACAGCAAGGTTGATTTTCTCGATGCGACCGACAACTTTCATTTTTCGAACAACATTGATTGCCATCGTTTTTATAATAATATTGGTAACTGTTATTTTTCGAATGATACGGGTACCCGCTACTTCCCCTGTAAAAAGGATTTGATTTGTATTCATTTCCGTAGAAGGGGCAACCATCTTTTTTTGGCGAGTCATATTTACAGTCGAGTTGCGTGTTTTTATCACTGTCTTTTTCGCAATATTTTAAACCTTTAAAAAATCTTAAATAACTACATCTCGGATATAAATTTTTTATGCCTTTAAAAAAACTCGTTATGCCGCAAACGTCTTTGGGTTTTTCCACAGGAGGCATGTACGACGATCCGCGTTGAGCGTAAATTTCCGCTTGAGCGAAACACGGATTACCCGACGAGAAATTTTCCGGTGTGTTATCATTTTCACGATTGTGTTGCATGCATTCATATTTTGAATCTTCATAAGGATTTGAATATTCGGAGTTTTGAGTTGGACAATCATCGTCATCCTCATCCGAATTGTATTCGTCGTCTTCATTATCGCTTTCCGATTCGGATATGCATTCAGCTGTTATGAAAATTGGTTCACAATCATCTTCGTCTTCAGGTTCGGATGACGTAGGCATTACGCATGGGGGTTCGGGTAATTGTATTTTCTCCTGGTAGCATCTCTCCTCCTGAATCTTTATAAATTTATAAAAATTTTTTTTTTTTTGTTAAATTTTTTAAAATTGATTTTAACCGAAAAAAAGAAATAATTCTCACTCACCGGTTCCGGTTTCGGACAACAACAACAATTTCTTTTTCTTATCAATTTGAAATGATAATCATCGTCTCCGCCGTATCTTTTGTCACGGTCATCGTAACAATATTCCGTTGAAACTCTTTTATTATTTTTTTGAAATATTTTTTCAATTTTTTGCCGTAATATTTTATCCTCTTTTAATCTTCTCCTTTCTTCTTTTCTTTTCTTTTGTTCGAGTTTATATTCTGGTAAAAAAAAAAAAAAAAAAAATTCATATTTTACTTCTTTATAAAAATTATTATTAAAATTTAAAAGGGAGTTTGATAAGTTTAAAAAAAAAACAACAACAGTTCGCCTAAATTTTTTTGTTCACCTTCTTTCCTTCTCTTTGCCTCCAGTTTTAATTCGGAATTTGAATTTTTCTGTTCGTTTTTTCTGTTTTTTTCTTTTTTTTTTTTGACTTCTTTTTTTGGCTTATAACAAGGTTCATTTTGAGGAGGACGATTTTGGTTCGCCGTCTCAAACGATTTCCTTTCATTTTTACATTTAGTATTTTCTTTTAAAAGCCTAGAATTTTCTCTTACAAGTCTAGAATTTTCTTTTTGAAGTTGAGAATTATTTTCTCTTTTCACTTTTGCAGGTTTTTTCTTTTTCTTTTCCTTTTCCTTTCCCTTTTCCTTTTCCTTTCCCTTTTCCTTTTCCTTAGACGGGGTAGGTTCTTTCTGCGGAGCTTCAAGTAAATCAGTCGTGAGCAACGAATAAATTTGAGCTTTTTTCAATTTATTAAATTTATCATAACCGTTATCAACATCGTCATCGGATTCGCATTCTTCGGATTCTAAATTGACCTCGTGTAAGAAATACGACGTGCAAGATGGCGTCATGTAATTTTCCGTGCGATTGGTAAATTTTTCACAATCGTTTTCTTCCTCTTCATCTTCGAGTTCTTTTTTAACGATTTTATTCTTGTATTCTTTTTTTGCTTTCGAATCGGTCATTCTCGTCGAAGCGTCCACATCATCACGATTAACAAACATTTTATTATTTTTAATTCCTCTTATATTTTTACCATTTTTTAACCACGTTCTTAATTCTTGCATGCTTATCGATCTCGATAGAGTCATGTCGGACGTGTTGTTGTGGTGCTTACTCGGTTTAGAATTTTGATTTTTATATAATTTTTTCAAACAATCTTTATTTACGAAAGCAGAAGGAACGGAATAACTCGACGCACTGCGATTGAGAAGGTTCATGAGAGTGCTCGTGACAAAATTATCACGCGGAGAATAACTCGATGTCACTGTCGAGGAATCTCCTACATAATTCATGGGATTCGATTTATTATCGATAAGGAATCGTCCGGAATTTGTTACGTAATAATTTTTACAACCCACGATTTCTTTGAATTCTCTCGGATCCATTTCTGTAAAAAATGATTTCGATGATTTTTTCGGTTTTTCTTTTTTCGTTTGATTTTCGTCATCCTTATAAGAAATTTTTTCCATCATTTTTCCTTTTTGCACTTCCTAAAAAAAAAAAAATGCATCATTATCATTATATTATTGTTATTTTTGACTTTTATTCCACATAAGAAAACGAATTTAAAATATTTTTAAAATAAATAAAAAAAATTGAAAGGTAAAAAAAAAAAAAAATTATAAACAAGTAAGTTCTGTCAGTAAGAATTTTTTTTTTGTAAACAACTTGACAAAAGGAAGTATTAATATTTTAATGGATTCGTCGGTTTCCCATTTCTCAAATTTCTTACCAAAGTATTTTCTCATTCCTTTTATTACATAATTTAATAATAAGAAAAGAAAAAAGGGAAAAAAAAAAGAAAATTTTTTTTCTTCCCATGTGAAAACTTGTAAAACTGTTCCCTTTAATAAACTTTACGAAGGACGAACAAAAATTATTTGAGGTTCTTTTATTTTCTTTTTTTTTTTTTTCATTTTTATTTTTTATTTTTTTTTATTTTCTCTTTCTCCAGTTTATTTTGTCTTTTTAATCTCTTCTACTCCCAAATCCATCCCTTATTACCCCTCGTACTATTTTTCTCCTTTAAACTCTTCCACACTTTTTAAATATACAAATTTTTAATTGTATTTTTAATCTCAAGTTAAAATTCAAAATATTTAATTAAAAAAAACCTTTTTTTTTCCCTCCTCCTTCTCCCTCTCTCCCTCTCTCCCTCATCCCCCCTCAACCTTTCGCCCTTTTTTTTTCTCTCCTTTTCGTTCCCTCGGAGGTAACTTTTCTTTTTTTTTTTTCGTTTTTCTTTTTCTCAGGTTTTTATTACTTCCTTGAAAAGTGCAAGATAAGATTTTTTTTATTTTTTTCTTTTCCTCCCCCTCCCCTCCATTTAAAATGAATGCAAATAAGCAATAATTAAAATTTTTTAATTGAAAGTAAGAAAAAAAAAAGGAAGAGAAAGAGAGAGAGAGAGATAGAAAAAAACGAGGAAATAGAAAATTAAAAAAAAAAAAATTTTCATTTTTTATTTATATTTAATTTTCACCAGATTAGGTTAGTTTTTTTGTCCCCCTCTCCCCCTTTCCCCCTCAATCGTCATTTTCTATTTAAGTTTGAGGTTTCTTTTTATTTTTTATTTTTTTCTTCTTCTTCTGATTTAACCCCCATCACATTATTTAAACGGAAAAGAAAAGAAAAATCTTAAAGAAAATTATTAAGAAGAAAATGTAATGCGATGGTCATTAATTTGAAAAATGTATATATATATAATAAAGTTAACCTTTATTGATTTTTTAAATGATGAAAGGATGTTGAACTTTTCAAACACAGAAATTATTTCATCATATATAACAGAAGGGAAAAGAAAACAGGGAAAGAAAAAGTAAGAGAGAGAGAAAGAGAGAAAATAAGTTTTATATGATTTTTCTTTTTCTAATAGGGGAAAGTTAAAAATTAAGTAATAAAAAAAAAAAAAAGAGAAAATAATAATAAATTTCTTAATACGTGCCTGATGGTTTTGAAAATTTTCATTTTTCAATTTTTTGAAATAATCAAAACATTTTGACCTAACCGCATTGTTGTTTTTGTTATTATTATTATTATCATCATCATCATTTTCCCCATTTTCATTTTCTTCATTTTCTTGATTTTCCCTCATGTTGTTCTCGTGTATTTCGGCTGCCATAAACACTCCGATTTCATTTTCAAATTCATTAGGTTGGAGAGAAACGTTTTTCAACCAATTTGATACGTTTTCTTGAGTTTTTTCCGTTTTAGATTTAAATTTTCTCGGATCCAAATTGTTCGTTATTGTTTTTTTCTTTTCTTTTATGTTTTTCTTCACGTTCGCCGATTTATTCTGCTGTGAGTTTTTCATTCTGCTTTCTCTCTTTTTTTTACTTACATCGTTGTTGTTCCCCGTTAAAATGTACGTTCTACTCGAGAAAACGGCTATCGCGTGACTTTTTTTATCCGATCTGCCACAATTAATAAAAATTATTATTATCATTATCATCATTGTTTAATTGAAAAGATTTTTTTAATCGTGTGAAATATAATAGTAATAATAATTCACGCGTGAACGCGTATAAATAATAATTTTGTATGATTTACTTATTTAATGTATTTTGAATTTGTTTTCCGCCATTATTAAAAAATTTTTTTTTTTCTCTCTTTTTATTTTTCGATTTCACGTCCATCATTCCGCATATTATTTCATTTGTATTATCATCATCATTATTATTATTTTCCATATTCGTTTCAGAATAAATTGATTTTAAATTATTATTATTATCATTATTTTCGTCGAAACCTTTTCAACAACAATAAAATAAAATAAAAAAATAAATTTACACTTTTTTCCCTTCGGTTTTATTATTATCATTATCATTATTATTATCATTAAATTTAAAAAAAATAAAATTTACCTTTTTGAAAATTTTTCGTCTTTTCACTAAAATTCGATTCATCGTAATAATTTTTTATCGATTCGACCATTTTTTTATTTTTTTTCCCGATCATACTCTCTAAAAAAAATGTATAATTAATTAATTTATTATTGATTGATTGATTGATTGATTTTTCTAATTTGATTAATAATCGTTATCGTAAATTTTTTATCACGTGGAAAGGGGAAATGTATTTTTTAATGCTTTCGCGATACTGCAAATTATTATTATTATTTCCGGTTTATGTGAAATCTTTTCCAGTTTAAAGGGACGGATGATAATAACACATATGGCGGTGAATGAATAATAAGAAAAAAATATAAATGATAGTAATGAAATATTATTATTATATATCGTATATATTATGTACCGTATATAATATAAATATATATATATATTCGGAAAAAAAAAGTTACCTTTTTCTAATTCGTTTTGCCTCGCTTCGAGGAGTTTAATTCTGTTGTTAACATTTTTAAGTAATTCCGCCGAAGGTTTACAATGACAATTTTTTATACTCTGATTGGCTTTGTCGTTTTCCTTTTTCATTTCTTTTAATTTTTTTAATTTCTTAGCAAATTCGCTCAATTCGATCAAATCTTTTTTTATAGCAAATATTTCGTTGAGTGTGAATAATTCCGTTTCTAATTTCGTCGATTCGTTACCACCTTCTTCTTCCACGACGTACATTAATTTCTCTTTCGTTTTCCTATTTATTCCGTTCATTAAATTATCCGATGCGTTTTCATTATTTTGCAATTTTTGAAAAGTCGCCGAAATCGGCAGTGTATGCAGCTGCTGTTGCTGTTGCTGCTGCTGCATCGGCGGCAGCTGCGGGGGCAGCTGCGGGGGTAGCTGGGGCTGCTGAAACTGCGGCGGTGACAGTGGCGGCGGCGGAAACATAGAATGAACGGCTATTTCTTTTTCGCTTTCCAACGACGTTTTAACACAACCTTCGTCATTGTAATTTCTGTTTTTATGCGAATTATTATTATTATTATTATTGTAATTACCGCTACCGAAACTTTCGCTTTTTTTTTTACATTGTTGCTGCTGCTGTTGTTGTTGGTGTTGTTGTTCTTTTACAAATCGTGAATCTTTTTTTTTGGCGAAAAACTTCGTGAAACTTTCGCGTAAAGGCGTTTTTATCGGTTTGTAATTATTTTCTCTTATGCTGTCGTCATTTTCGTCGTAGTCGTCGTCGGCGTCGGCGTCGTCGTCGTTGTCGCCGTTATGTTCGACAGATGAAATTATCCTATATTTTTCGTTGTCATTGGATGTTTTTTTAATAACGTAACTATTTTTTTTCGTATCGTGATCCGACACGTGATGCCTGTGATTTTGAAAATGATGAAAGCACGGATTATCATTTTCTTCTAACATGACGCTTTCCTTTTTCGATACGCTTTTACCGGATTTATAATTATAATTATTATTATTATTATTACTATTATTTTTTTTAATATCGTTCAAATCTTTGTGAGAATTATTAAATGTTGGAAATGTTTTTTTTATTTCCGACACGAAAGTTTTCCTTAGCGAAGACGTCACGCTCGACGTGATCGGCGATATTAAATTTTTTTGTGTTTTTTGATTTTTTTTCAAACTCGAACATGTGTTTGAATTATCTGTAATAAATCAATAGATAAATTTTTTTTTCTTATATAAATGAAAATTATTCGAATTGGAAATGTTAATTTTAATTTAAAATAATTTTTTATGACGTGTTTTAATGTCTTGTATATAAAAACTTACGAGACTACTACTCCATATTGAAAGAAAATATGGTTTTAAATAAAAAAAAAAGACGTGTTTTCTTATTTTATTAATTAAATTATTTTTTTTTATTTATTTATTTATTTTAAATTCATGAATTATTTATTGTCGCGTATTGTCGCGACATGTTTTGTAAAAAAAAAAAAAAAAAAAACTTAAATTAACGAATAAAAATAATAGTGCAAGAGAATATAATAATAATAAGTCGTGATGATTTTCTAAATTAACGTGTCATAAAAATTTTACAAAGAAACCAATGGAAGCACACATTTTTATTATTATTATTACAATAATATTAATTAACATATAATTATTCGGTAACGTAAATAACTATGAATACATTATTAGTATATTTATAAAGATATGGAAACGTATATATAAAAAAAGTGACAGACAAAAAAAAAAGAAGGAAAAGAGGGAAAAAAAAATTTTTTTTTTTTTTGTTCTTTTCCTTCTTTTTCTTTTTTTTCTAGAAAGAAATTTGTTTGTTAACGGTTAAAAAATTTATCCGTTTGACTGTTCTCTAAAGATATCGTTTTTCTATTTTTTCTATTTTTTCTTTCTTTCTTTCTTTCTTTCTTTATTTTATTTTATTTTATTTTTTTCTAGTTGAAATTTGAGCAGTTTTTCACTTAAAAACCACTTTTCTCATATTTCTTATATAGTATTGGGAAAAATAAAACTTCTAAAAGATTCTAAAATATTTTTTTTTTTAAATCCCTGCAAGGGAAAGGTTTTTCATATCTTTAAAAGTAATTGTTGTGGATTTGCGTGGGATTCTAACCAGATGACTATGAATGACCACAAAAGGGTGACCAATATCAATCTGCAATCTTTAACCACCATCTATGAGATTTTACCCCCCCCCCCTCCCCCGCCTTTAAAATGCACGGGTGACAAAATGGGGGAAAAAAAAAATCATCATTATTATTTCTTTTTACTTTTATAATAATAATAATAATAAAATATAACATTATTTTTGTTGAAAAAAAGAAACTTTATACGTGGGAGAGAGAGAGAGAGAAACGAAAAAGTTGTTAAGAGATTTGTATGTTGTTTTTTAAAAGAAATAATTAAATTGTGTGAGTTAATTAAATTTTTTTAATTTAAAATTCTTTCTTAGTTTAGGTCTTTGTTGAAGGAGGAATTCATTTAACGCCAATTTTTCAATGAAAAATTATTTAAAAAAAAAAAAAAATTGTTTTTACCTGAATCGAATTGATTTACTGAATTAGTATATTGTTTATTTAACGTTTCACATGCATAATCTTTTCTTAAGTAACTTCCTGATGGTAAATTAATAGCATCAATTGAACGTCGGTCATTTTTAATAAACTCATTTCTTTTGTCTGTTTGTAAATAATAATCATTTTCATGAGATTTATACGATTTAGATTCTTTATCATAAACCAAATGATTGTTATTAATGTATTTTTGTTGGTGAGAAATTGATCGTTTCATACTGTGATACGGTTGACATATTTATTGATTAATTTTTTTTAGACAATTCTAATAATATCGATTTTTTCAACTTCTTGACTTTTTTAAAAAAATAATAACATTTTCATAAACACACATAAATCATAATACGTTAATTTATATTTATTGCCGAATAATAATTTTGAATTGTTAATAAAAAATCGGCCAAAATCAAACCGAAAACGCGATTCAAATGTTCAACTAATTCATTATTTGTTTTGATTAAATTTGTTGTTTGTTCGAAATCATATTTACATTTAACCGACGTTGATATTCGTTTTTGCAAGTTGGCGACAAAAAAAGAACCTTTTTGGATTTTGGCGGGAAAGATTTTACAGTGCGCAACATGGTCGTCTAGTGATTTCATTCGATTTATTATTATTATTGATTTTTTTTTGATTATTTTTCGTATCGAATTATTATATTTTTAGTTTGTTTAAAAGAAAAAAAAAAAGAAATCTGTCGATAATTATTTATGACGTTAAAAAGACATATTGCAAAATCTATATGGGAAATTATTTTGTTTATTTTATTTTTAAAAATGTATACTTTGAATAATGTGTAAGTAAATAAACTCGAATGTAGGTGAAAAGAAAGAAAAAAAAAAGAAAAGGGAGTTTGAATGAAAATTGTCAAGGATTTCAAGTGATTTGAAAGCAACATTCAAAACATTACAAGAAAATAAATAAACCTTTTTAAATGATGCTTTTTTTTTCTTTTACTACGTCATCTCACAACCACTCAATCTTTCTTTCTTTCTTTTATTTTTAACAAGAAGCATTTTATTTTATTTTTCTTTCGTGTTATTTTTTTCCTGGGTAAACTTTTTTTTTATTTTATTTATTTTAAATAAGACATATTTTACATAAAACTTTACAGTATGCTTCTTTTATTTATCACGTTTGAAAACATTAATAATTTTGTTTTT